GTACTGACAACTGGGGGGCAGGCTTGCAGGGTATACCCTTTGGTTGGTTGATGATGCATGGAGGGGATTGTAACCATGGCAATGAAACGATGTACAATAGAATGAATGTAAAACTAATGTTCTCCCATGTAAACCATCACATAATTCGCAATAAAACATTAAAAAACAACAACAAATGAATGGGGATGCCTGACTCAAATTTTGTTTGCATTTGGCAAGGCAAGAGGGCATCACAAGATTATTGACTTTAGCTTCTGAGAGTGGTTTTGTTTGATTTTAACATTATCTAATACTGGTGTGGCTCTGTATTCACATCGGACTGCTAACCTCAAAGTTGGTGGTTCAAACCTATCAGTGGCTATTTGGAAACCCTATGCAGGGTTGGCGCGGAGTTGGAACCGACTTGACAGTACTTAATAATAACAACAACAATCCCCAGTCTTATATTCTCAGACTTTAAAGTTTTTTACCTTGCTGTTGTTAGGTGCACTTTAGTTGGTTCTGATTCATATGTACAACAGAACACTGCCCCGTCCTATGCCATCCTCACAGTTATTGTTATGCTAGAGCCCATTGCTACAGCTACTCTGTCAATCCATTTCATTGGGAGTCTTCCTCTTTTTCACTGACCCTATACTTTACCAAGCATTATGCCCTTCTCCAGGGACTGGTCCATCCTAACAGCATGTCCAAAATACGAGAGACAAAGTCTCACCATTCTGGCTTCTAAAGAGCATTCTGGCTGTATTTCTTTCAGGACATATTTGTTTGTTCCTCTGGCAGTCCATGGTACTTCACCGCACCATAGTTCAGATACATGGATTTACCTAGAAATGAGCATACTTCAGTATCACATGCTTTCCCATGAAGTTCATTCATGTTTACGCATTTATATGCATTACAGTCATTTTTAGTTACTGGAGTGCCCTCATCCTCTGTCCAAAGCTAGCTGGCAGGGTTAATTGTAATTGGCTGTTAGAAATAATGAGCATAAAGGGATAATTCTTTCAGGACATGTTCGGGTCCAAAGCAGAGATCACAAATCGAAGAAATTGGAAAATCTGACTCCCCACCACATTCAGCCCATCCTGTCTGGACCACTGCTACGATAATGTGCCTCTCTGAATCCTACTTCCTCTGTTCTCTTTGATCTTTATGTTGGGTACTTTGTTTCTTGTTCTGGCCCTGACTGAGACATGTAGCTTTTAACCCAAGGCTGGTTTTGAGTTTAAGGAGGCATTCCTTCTTCTCCAGTATATGCTGAAGAAATTCGTTTGTGTTGGTGAACTTCATTTTGCTCTGATAAGGAACCTGCTTTTTTGTAGTTTTTAAATTCTGAGAAACCCTATACAGGGTCACTGTGGGTCAGAACTGACTCAACAGCATTTAACAACAACAATAATTTCTGAGAGTGCACTTCAATGCCACAATATGCATCTTAAAACTTAGTTGCACCTAAGACAGAGCCATTGCCATGCTGCAATGAGTTTCGATGACAGGTAAGACGGGAATTCGCACTGACCGCCTAAGACAGGCAGTGTCCTGTAAACGAATAATAAATAAGGGGGAATCTGGTGCAGACCGTACAGACTCAGTCAGGAGTCCGAGGTCCTGTGGGCCCAAACGTTGCAGACTGTCCAAACCATAGGCTCTGAGGATCAAACTATAGCCACCTAGCAGACATAGCAAACTGTCCCTCATCTGATTATTCAGTTATGCTGGTTAGTAATTCCATAC